GGGGAGAAAATGTTACTTGATGAAATTAGCTATTGAGACAGTTTCATGACACAATGTGTAACAGTTCTTGAAAGACATCAAACGGTTTTAAGCTGATGTATTTGTTGTCTTGAAAAGTGGAATTCTCACGATATTTCCATTTCTATTGTTTTTTTTAATGTTGTCAGATTAAATACTTATTCACACTCAATATTTATAATACTATAGTTTAATCTTATCAGTTAAAATTTAAAGTAAACATAATTAATGGTAACCTTTTGTATAAAACAAATGTCGAACATGCATTAATTTAGTGTTAACATGAGTAAACATGAGGAAACTGAGTACTTCACTCATTTGAAAAAGGTCAAATAAAACAACATTGAAATCAAGTATATGTAAATATGAAATACAAATCTAAAAGTGTATTTTAAATGAAACACGAGTTTTCACCCACAAATGTTTAATTTTCACCATTTTTCAAGTGAAATTTCTGTCCAACAAATCATATTAGGTTTTCTTTTTCAATTTTTCAAACGCCTACTGAGGGGTCGTTTGGTTGGAAAGAAGTTATCCCAGGATTAATTATTCTGGGATTAGTTATTCCAACTTTCCATGAAGATAAAAATATATTATAATCCCGTGATAACTAATCCTGAGATTAATTATACCGCAGTTTTCTACCAACCAAACATGGGATAAACTTTCTTAAATTTAATCCCGAAATTAATTATTCTTAATTCCTCATAGCAAACGAGCCCTAAATGCACAAAAAAGTACCGAAATACATATATGGGAAGGTACCGTTTATAAGTTGGTATTATTTGTTGATAAGGAATTAATTATCTTTTTCTTAATTTATTTTTCTTGATTCTCGGGTAGAATAATATAAAGTGTGTTCCGATATCATTGTAATGAAGAATTCAACTAGAATACGATAAAGGTATCCTCCACGTCAATTAAAAGTTCTCAAATAGTTTGTAAAATAAAGACATCATAAAAGCAAAATACACTTGAAAGAAGCAAAAGTAAACAAAAAAAAAAAAAAAAAAAAAAAAAGGGAAAGTGGGGCTTCCCTTCCTGCCACTCTTCTTTTAATCATTTGGTATTAGTAGCGTACTGGTCCGACTAATCTAGACTCATATCGCATAAGACTTATTAACGAAAAATTTTTTTTTACCAGGAATTTATTCAATTTCAGGTATGAGTTTGAGACTTCTAGTTAATCGTGGAAGTGTTATGCTTATCCCATCACATCCGTTGGCGTTTTTTTCCTCCGATGTACTCAGTAACAAAATATATGGATTTTTTTATGTTTTTACATAATAGAGAGAACAAAATAAAGACATGCAATTTTTTCTATAATGCTCAAGAGATAACAAGAAAATTTGCATAAGAAGCATTTCAAATCTTGGAAGATTAGAGTAAGATATAATTTCATTAGGTTGGATGACTTTAGGAGTA